CTAATAAAGGATTTATTAGCCACTCACTCTGTGCTAAACACTTTGTTAGGCACTAAGAATTTGTGCTTTACCCCCTCTAATCTTAGGGACTTTATTGCCTTTCTAATCTCATTGGGGTGAGCAAGGAGGTGGGTACTTGCAGTTTATGCTATTTACCAGGCTAGTTCTTCTTAATCAACATTCTTATTTAGCTTCCTAATTAGGTATACCTCTAATTACTATGTTAATTCATGCCCATTTTATTGAAGTTCACATAGTATTATCTGATTGGGGAAAGTGTTCAGTTAGCTTACTGAACACTGAATGATATTTGGATACCGAACTCATAAAAATTGCAATATTGAGAGGTAAAGGCATTTCACTTATATCATTGATTTTATGTTGTGTTTTTCAACAAACTTTAACTTTATGTTAATTTTTGGCGGCTGTGGTTTTGTTAGATTCCCTAGTGTATTACATTTGGAATTTATAGAAATGCAAGCTTTTCTTGAACACATGACTACTTTATTTCTTTATTTAGCTCAAAGAAGTAAGATCGATCTGTTATGATCTTGCCTTAGGAACCTCTAACAGATAAAAACAGAGACTTACTTTAATAGTTAATCATGCTTTATTTAGATAATTCACAGTGACAGGCTAGTGCTTTTCAGTGTTTGGCACAAACATAAAACAATCCTGGGGGACTGGGAATGTGACTTAGTGGTAGAGTGCTTGCCTAGCATGCATGAAGCTTTGGATTCGGTTCCTCAGTACCACATACACAGAAAAGGCTGGAAGTGGCACTCTGGTAGAGTGCTAACCTTGAGCACAGAGAGAGAGAGGCTTAGGGACATTGCTCAGGCCCTGAGTTCAAGCCCCAGGACTGGCAAATAAAAAAAAAAAAAAGAAAAGAAAAAAGAAAGAAAGAAAACCCACAAAAAACAAACAACAAAAAACAACAATCCTGTCATAGCAGTGAGAGAGAGGAAGGGCCCAAGAATCCAGAACGTTGTCATTTTCAGGGGTTAACTATTTTTGCATAAATATTAACAATATTCATGTAAAAGGAAGTTATATGAATATCTTTCACAATTTAATTGACTTCATTGAAGGAGGCTTTAGGAGAAGCTGCTCCAATAATAAGAACAAGAAGCCAGGTTGACGAAGCCTGCAATTATATAATCCTATTGATCAAGAGTTACATTCCTTTCCTGTCATAAGACTCCTTAGGAACAAGAAAAGTAAAAAAAAAAAAAAAAATCTCCTGTAGTTTTTGGAGAACATTCTTAAGGAAAGCCAAAGTATAGAATACTGTCTCAGTCATTTTGTATAGAGAGAATATGATGGCATTTTCATTTAAAATAGAAATATGAAAATAAAGAGACACAGGGTCTTAACCAGGTATGCTTTACTGCTCGGTTGTGTTATCTACTCTTGGTCATTTTTTTCTGGTCTCTTGTTTATTTTCTTTTCTCTTATCCCCCCTCCATTAAGTTTTGGAATTAATATTTTGATACTATTATCTTTCAGTGAGTCCTTCTTTACTCAGTCTAGAGTTTAATACATTTAAATAAACACATATATGCATCTATATACATATATTTATATAAAACAAAAATTTTTAAAGAAAGTTTGCTTTTGAAAGTCTTGTTATGCCAGATGTGATAAAAGAATACAAAATAATGGTCTCTTTGTGAACAAGTGGAACAATTTAGTCACCTAAAATTTTATTTTAGAATTGTTTGGACAAATTGCAACTTCAGATATGATAGAATTAATCAAGCCTTATATTCATTTAATATTCTCTTTCTATAAATCATTGACATAAAAAGAGTATGACAGACAGATCTTTGAATCGTGGCTCGCCTCTAGGTACTTTAAACTTATCTGACACTTTGAGCTTATTCAGTTTTAAAGTAAAACCCATATTGCAGTGTTCTTAAGAGACTTAATATACAAAGAATTGTTTATGTAAATATCAGGAAAATAATAGTACACATGGAATAATATTTATGTTTTAATAATCTCTTTTTCTCTGTGCTGGTATTTGGGCTTGAACATAGCTTTTGCACTCAAGGCTGATGCTTTTACCACTTGAGCCATAGCTCTACTTCTGGCTTTTGGATGGTTAATTGGAGATAAGAGTCTCACATACTTCCCTGCCCAGGCTGGCTTCAATCCTCAAATCTCATCAGAGTAGCTAGGATTACAACAGGTGTCCACCTTTATTCTCAAGTATTTTAAAAATTATTTTTCTATATGACAATGCAGTACAGTCTTAGTCAATTGAGTTCCTTAGGTTTATGTACACAGAAAGGGAAAAAAGCTAGCATAGAAATGAACTCCAGTAAGTAGTGCTGTAGCTCAGGTGGTAGAGTGCTCGCCTTGAGCTAAAGAGCTGAGGAATAGCGCCCAGGCCCAGAGTTCAATCCTCACGACAGACAAAAAAGAAAAGAAAAGAAATGTACTCCACTCTGTATTTGCTGAATATTTACTAAACGCCAAGCAGTTCTTCAGATTCTGTGAATAGAAGGTGGATCATATGACCCCAAACATCAAAGTACTCTGAGTTTAGTTGGAGAATTGGATGAGTGAGCTTGTATTTGGTGTACGTACTTAGGTTAAAGAAAAGAGGTTGTGTGGGATAGAGTCAGCAAACAGAACTGAATCTTGAAAGAGAATGTGGGTAAAAAAATATTTCAGAGTGCTTGAAGGGGAATCTCAGGCAAATTGAGCAGGAAGAAGGGACAGATTAGGAACTGGCAGCAAGTCGGCCTGATTACAGTGGTTTTGTTTGGATGTTTAATAAGGTCTAGGATTGTAAAAATCTTGATTTGCTATGCTACAGTGTTTAGGTTTTATTTTATTGGCATTTTGGAAGCATTTGAAGAATTTTGAGCCAGAAAATGACATAATCAAGTACATAGTTTAGAAATATTCACAAAACCTGTATTCTCTGTTACATCTCATTTTGATTCTTCCTAGCCCTATACTGAAAATTGACTTCCATATCAGAGGAACCAATTATCTTGTTTAACCTAAGTCTATCATCACGATGATGTTAGGCACTTACACATTTGTGATCTTCGTTGAAAGCGGTGAAAATTGCCACTCAGACCTTAAGTTTGAGTAGCTCACAACAGAGAGTCACAAAGTTCATTGCTTCTGACATCTTTTCTTTAACTATGATAGAGTGAAACCAAGAAGGAAAATGCTGCTTTTGGTCACTGTCCAATATCCTGAGCCTTTTAACGCAAATTTTCATGAGGACGTCACAGACATTCGTTCCAATGCACAGTTCTCACATGATAATGATCCTTCATTATCGTATATTGTACTTGACAGTGAACACCAAGAAACCACTGCTTGACATGTTCTCCATTAAAATGACATGATCTCTTTCTGCAGCCTGATTTTTGGAAGCAAGAGCATTTATTAAAGCAGGACATTGGGGATTCTTATTTCTGGGCCCTTCCTCTCTTAATTCATGTCTGAATTAGTCTGGGCCCTCTGGCTACATGCCAGAAATATGGTGAGAGCGCCTGCCTCCAGGTAGGAAGTTATATCTTACCAATGGTTATCATATTGATGAGCAAGGCATTTCCCAGGTGTGTGGCTTCAGGTTCTGACTTCTTTAGGAAGCCATTACAGTCTGTCTTCACTTCCCTTTCTAGGCGGTAGGCAGTCTATGCTTTTTCCTGTGTGAGCCAGCTACTAGCCCTAGACAGTCTTCAAGCTTTTCACACCTGCCTAACTTCTTACCTCTGACCTTGCTTAGTTGCCATTTCTCAAAACACAGGTATTTAAAAACAACGTAAACATATAGCCTAAAATTATGCTGAGCAACTGTAATTCTAGAACAGCACAAACTAAAAGCTGTAGTGGGTTTAAGAAAAATAAACATGATTTGGAGTCAGACAACTCACCATGTATGTAATTGGATCTACCAGATGTCCTGATGACCATGCTGGACACCTGATTCTGCCTATCAAGAGAGGCTTCTATAAGGAACTAAGCCATCAAGACTTACATACACAGTTACTAGGAGGTGGTTTTCCTGCATTAGAACTCCAGAAGCCGTCTCCTGTCTGGTTCCTTTCCACCATCCAACTCTTTCTTCAAGTGAATCTTTCAAGTCACTATAGTTAAGCAGTGTGTTACTCCACATACCACTTTGAAGTTTACAAAGTGTTTTCACTTACATCTCATTTGATTTACAGACTAGCTCTGTGAGGTAAGTATAATTATCCCTGCTTTACAGAAGAAAACTAAGGCTCAGTAAGATTAAATGCCTTGCAAACACAAAACAACTTATAAATACCACATCAGTATTCACAATTGGTTGTGTGTGTGTGTGTGTGTGTGTGTGTGTGTGTGCGCGCGCGCGCGCACGCACTGCTCCTTGGGCTTGAACTCAGGGCCTGCTCATTGACCCCTGAGCTTGTTTACTCAAGGTTCGTACTCCACACTTGCGCCACAGCTCCACTTCTGGATTTTTTTGGTGGTTAATTTGAGAGAAGAATCTCATAGACTTCCTTGCCTAGGCTGGCTTCAAGCCACGATCCTCAGATTTGTTGCCTGAGTAGCTAGAATACAGATGTGAGCCACCAGCACCTAGTCTTATGCATACATTTTAATAACTAAGTTTTGCATTACATGAGAAAAATCAAGAACTCCTTAATTGAGATATTGTATTCTACCTACCGAGGATTAGGTATTTGTTCATGAGACCAAAGTTTCATTGACAGCAACGTTGATCCCCAAGGAAATATGGATACTATTTTTGTTCAGTTTCAGAATCCTACTGCATTAGCACTGGTTTTCTAGTGTCTCTGCTTGCTTTTTATACACAAAGTGCACATAGAAGCATAACAAAATATAAATCATTAGTCTACCCAGGATTGGTAAACTATAATCATAATAATCTGTTGGTACACTTTGTTTTCAAATATCTTCCCCAATGTGGGGTGATTTATGTATCTTACTGCTTAATGTTCTTGATAGCTACTTTTTCCTTTCAGGTTTTGTGATGAAGGAACCTGTAAAGATAAAGCCAATATTCTCTATGCCTGGGCCAGAAATGCTCCCCCCACCAGGCTCCCTAAAGGTACACAAGTCGTCTCTTTAAATGTCTTATGTTAATTATCTGTTTCCCAAGGTGTTTTTTATGGTCTTAGTTGCTGCAGTTCTAACACTAAAAGTGTGTGTGTTACCCATTTTGTTGTTGAAAGGTTTTATTTAGGTGGTTAGTTTTTTTCTCTCCTTCACTTTAGTAAGTAGTTTGCCCTTACAGCCATTCAGATTGAATTAGAAAATAACCAAGTATACCTCAAGCCACCTTTGGCCTAAGGCACATTGGTTCCTGACAATAGGAGTGGGTCAGGAGCCAAGAAAGCTAAATAAATTGCTGTTTCAGCAAACAGAGATTGTTTTAACAGTACTGAAACCTAGCTGTTTAATAGGCTGCCAAACTTCAGCTGCTTTCCTGACTTCACCTTTAAACTGTTCATAGCTTCAAACTGTTCCATTGTCTAATTGAATTACCAGTCTCTTAATATCACTTGGACATTTCTTAATATTGGAGGGAGTGCATGGTGCTGTTACAGAAAAAGGTCTGCTATGGTTTAGAGACAGTCCTGCGTGTACATGCCCCCATGTTACCTTCAAAATCAGGCCAGAATCACTACTTGATGTCTGTTTTGCATTGCTCTAAATGGATCTCCGAATTCTCTCTCTACTTTAACATACAGCCATTAACAAACAACTTAAAACATTAATATGATAATCATTTGTTTCTTTACATTTTCAGAGCAGATAGAAAATTTTCTCTCACCTTTTAAATATTTTCTCTGTAGATTAAAAAAATCCATTAACAACCTTTATGTCAATTAACAGTAAGACTTCTAGCAACCCTTCAGATTCAAAAAATTCAGACTTACTGGACTCCGTTATCAAATTAGATACTGGCTTCCTTAAAGTCATTTTTATAACTTATAATCTGTTTTTAAATAAGAAGAAAAGTAATTCCCCTACATGCTCCTAAAAGGTCTGTTTTACAGATATGTTAAGTGATCAATAGAAAATAAATTACTCATTCCAAAATGAATGAAATATCTGGCTCAAGTTTAAGTGATCACTTTGATTCTAAAGTGGGATCTGTGAGTTGATTCCATCAGAATTTTGAGACAGCAAGATACAACTGTGTATTTCTAATAGAAATTTCTAATAGAAATTCAGATCCTTACCTAGTTTATTTTAGTTTTGCATTATATAATTTTATATGTTCTACATATTTTTATTTCTGAGATTCTTGAAGAAAAAAAAATCAATTGATCTTTTTTTTCTAAAATTTAGGTGTTGGATTCAGAGTTGGAGGAGAAACTGGCAGCAAATACTTCGTACTTCAAGTACACTATGGGGATATCAGTGCTTTTAGAGGTAAGGTTTTAATGCTAGAACTGAACTGTTTAAGTCATGTGTGCAAATTATTATCCACACACAACAAATGAAGAATTACCCATACCCTGTGTCCACTAATCACAACTGCCTTTGCTTCCTTTATTCCTACTCACAGGACTTTTATTTTGAAAGCAGGTTATCTTATGCAAGCATGTATCCACTGTGATTTCTCTTATGCTGACTTTCATAAAGTTATTCTGCCTTTCAGTATCTTGTGTGATCTGTTTTCTTCTCTTCGTAATCAGAAGTGCCACTCATTTTAAACAGCACTACTAGAAACCATAAGGGGAGCCTGGTAGTTGATTTTCCTCACTATGAACAAGCCTTTGACAGACTCTGCAGGCTCTGCAGTGCCAGCAAGGTCTCAAACACTCACGCTCATGTCATGCTTATGTGTAGCCCACACCTGCCACTTCAGAAATTCATCCATCATTGTCTGTACCCATTACACAGTGGTAAATGCTTCCAGGCACCTGTTGTTCTACCTGTGATGATTATGCACTTCATTAGAGGCCCTTGTTTTATTATAGAATCATTAGCATGAGGAATAGGCCCTGTTCCTAAGGCAACAAAGTTGGGCTTGTTTATTCCTCCAGCTGCATTTAGCCAAACTCCACCTGCATTCTGCATTCACACTCAGGTTCAGAAGGAGTTTAAATATTAAACGGATTTCTTCTTGGCTGTTGGCTTCTTTACTGTGTCTTTCTGACTTATATTCACCTTCCTGAATGTTCTAATTTAATGTTGTCTCTCTACTAAGTAACCTGATACATTGCCTTCCCCAACACATTAGATTTCATTCTAGCTATGATGTCTTTCTTTACCAATGAAATACATTTTGAGGCTTTTTTTCCTGCAGAAGCCCCATCTGTTAGAAGGGTCCATAAATACTTCTTGGGATAGGAAATGCAGTCTTCTGTAAAAAACATGTTGAAAGTATATTTTATGTAATTGAAAAATTATAATTAGTATGATAGTCAAATATACTATCAGTTAAATAAATACCTGTGAGCCAGCCAAGAACCTAATTTCTAAATAACACTTCTTTTTATAATAAAGTATACTTTGAGTTATACTCAGATAGTTTCCCATCTTTGGAACAGAACCTAATCTTAAATTGTTAACTCCCATGTGCTGAAATAAGGTTTTCTTGGAAATAATGGCATAATGTTTGTAAGGAACAAAAACTCTTTCTTCTCTTAAAAAAAATCTTAACATGTGAAGCCAAGCACACAGATTGTATCCTAGCTACTCCGGAGGCAGACATCAGAAGGACTGTGATTCAAGGCCATCTGGGTAAAACTTTCAAGAGAACCCATATTAACCAATAAAAAGCTGGAGTAGGGGTATAAGTCCGTCATGATAGCTACAAAGGTAGTGTAGAAAGGAGGATTAGGGTTTTAGAAAATTCAGGGGAAAAGGGAAAAGCATATTTAACAAAATAACAAAAACAAAAAGAAGTAAGTTTTATCTCAAGTGGTAGAGTGCTTGTCTAGCCCTGAGTTCAAATTCCAATACCAAATCCCCCCCACACACACCACCCCAATACTCGCCACACAAATGAGCTTATTTGTGTCAGTGTCAATGGAACATCAGATTCTATGATACTCACTACCATAGCACTGATACAAATATAATTTTTAAATGCCAAGAAGACTTTCCTTCAGCATCACAGCCACAGCAGTTTGTCACTCACACTTGCTCAACCCAAATCTCTATCCTGCTATGAGAGTGGGCTTCTCTCAACCTAATTTTTTTTAGCTGTATAGTACTCATAAATACCACTGAGCTCTTGGAAAAAATAAGATGTACTAGTATTTCAATAACATCTTGTTGCAACGACTATTTCCTACTGACGTTAAGTTAATTTTGTTTTATAATTTGTGCTGAATATATGGGGAATAACATACTTATTTTAATATGTAAGTATATTTTTGTTTATTTGTTTTATTTGTTGTTACTGTAAGGTACAGATGAGAATCTTGAGCCATTTTACCTCCTTTTGAGGAAAAAAAGAGTCTGTACTTCAGGTTGAAAGATGACTCGTACTGAAATACATAGCACTTATTTTAACAAAATAAAAACATTATGAAAAGTTTTACTTATGTGATTCAGGCAGTAAGTACCATTAGATATTGTCTAATCCCTCAAGCTACACATGACTTAGAATAGTAAAGAAACACTTAAAAAAGTATCAGATCTCACTGAAACAATAAAATAACATGTCTCACAGTCACTTGTGCATTATTAAAACTATTAATATGAAAAACTGGAAAATTAATGTTTGTTTAATATATGTAAATATATACATAATATATATTAAAAATATAACAGAATGTCATTTAGAGCACATATAAATTTGTGTTCACTTGTATGTTTCCAAGAAACACACTTGTAAGGAAAAAGAATAAAGCAGAAATATGGGATTGTGGGATTCTTTTCTTTTCTTTTCAAAATGGTATAATATTGTCTGTACAGCTACATTTTCAGATTCCACAAGAAACACCATGTTAACCAACTCTTTTTATATCTGTCAGTCTCATGTCCCCTTATACTCTCAAGACAGGACTGAGTTAATGTTGATTTGTACGTGCCTGCCTTACCATAGGAGTGGCTTAATGTCTAACCAGGTCCTATAGCACGACTTCATCCTGAATGTGTACTCCAAACAATATGTAAAGAATAAGAATATCCTCTGCTTAGTATGATGCATTAACTATGTGAGTTTTGTTATATCATATATATTTGCATATTATATATAGTACACATATATCATTATGTCACTGTTTTTGATACCAACACAGGGGAAGATTTAACCATCATAATTTAAAAATGAATGATGATATTTTATGTATATAAAATTATAAAATAGGAGTGTCACTCTTAGGAAATTACATAGAGGAAAACACTGTGTTAATGCCATCAGTATGTTTTCCGCACAGAGAAGGTTTTAAGAAATTGAGAAGACTAAGGCTTTTTTCTTGAGTATAGTACTAGCAGTGAAGGTAAAATGTCTTCTTAAAATTTGTGGGAAGTGAAAGAGCCAGAAAGGGCATAACCTGGAGCCAGCGGAGTCGGCCTGGCACCACCAGAGCTCCATGAGTAAGAAAAGATTGGCTGTAATGCTGTGAAATTACATGAAATGTTTGTCTTGCTCTGTTTGTTTGTTTTGGAAATGGCACAGAGTGTGAAGCTGTAAAAACATCATTTATAAACAGTCAACTTTATTAAAATCTATGTCAGTCATAGTGTTGGTCCTGTGCTAGTGCTGAGTGTATTCATCTTCCTGCCAGCCAGAGTGTACTGTATTTTAGCAGGAGCAGCACCCAGAAAGAGGTTGCAGTAGGCAAGAATAGAAATGCACAGTGGTTAAAGAGACTGCAGGGAGACTGGAGCACAAAGGTCTATCTAGAGAGAGAGGGTGGAGCTGGGTTTCTTAGCAACTGGAACCAGAGCAAGACTGAAAGGTGATTAGTTGTTCCAGTGTATGCAAGTCAAGATGGAAGACATGTATCTGACCAACTTACATAGCATGTGCAGAGATAACGCAGAGAAAAAGCCTCAGACACACAAGGATTTCCTGGTGATTTGACATTCCTGGGGTGTGAGATACAAAAGATGAAGTGGCAAAAAAAATGAGCAGAGGTGTGAAAGGGAGGGCAAGGACTTAGAGGCCCTGGTGAGGGCTGGTTCTGAAAGCACCCGGAATGTTCTTCCTTCAGGAAGTTGGGGTTATGGTTACCCCAGCTAGTCCTCTACTGAGCTCACAGGAAAAGAAAGGATTATGTGAAAAAAAAGATTATGTCTGTAGGTGGCCAGAAAGAACCAGGGATGGGGATTTGGCAAAAACAGAATGATTTTGTTTTGAAATGTAGGCTTCTCATTGGGAAACTGAGTGTTGTTTAGAAATGAAAGTAAATAGGTACAGGGTTTGGTGACCCAACTCCTAAATCCAGATAGAACATGCTGGCTTTGTTACTCACACCAGGTTTCTAGGCCCCTCTGCCCTCTTCCTCTAAACAGTGAAATCTTAATAGGTCATATCAGTACTTACCTAGTGCATATTCAATAAATGTCAGCTGTGGTCATCATAACTCTTAGTGCAATCTCCAGTCATACCAGCCTATAATATATAAAAAATACATATTTGTTACTTTTCAAGGGTGTTATGGTTTCATATTATGCTTGGACACAAACTGTGTTTGTGTCTGTCACATTGCCAATAGAACTTTCCCAGTTGTGTGGTGTTTCCTGTTCTCCACAGCAGTTTTTATTATTTATAGCTCAGCTATGCAAAGAGCAAAGACTAGGTCCTTGCCCTAAAGGAAATGAGGAGAGAAGACTGAGGATTTCGTTTCCCTCTTCCACAAGCACAAAACATACATTTATTTTTATTTTTTTAAGTTTTTTCAACCAAAGCTTGATCCAAAGAAAATACTTTCTTGAGATTATTTGCATAATGTTACTGAATATTTTTTCCAGGATGTTGTAGTGAAGAAAAATGTTAGAAGAAAAACTATGTTCTCATTTCTGGCCTTAGCTTACTAGTCTTCCAGAATAGCTCAACCTTGAATTGGAAATCCCATACACTCATCAACTGAATTTGGAACTACTGTTGTTAGATTGGTGGTCAGGGTCTCTTCCAAGTGTATAACCCAGTTGTCATTGAGTTGGCAACATTAAGCTATGAGTGCATGTAAGAAAGCAGACAGGTATAATCAATGACACACACGTTTACTCACACATACTGTTACATACATGTGCATATGCATACACAGACTGACAGACTCACATACATGCTAAGCACATTGTCTCTCTCACTCTCTCTTTCACACACACACACACACACACACACACACACATATTCAAGCATTGCCTTCATGTCCTCATCATAGCCCTCAAAAGTACATTTTATTCATTTTAGCATGCTCCTGGGAATAGAACCAAGATTCATTTTCCTTCACTTGGGTTTTTAACAC